CAGATACTGTACACAGGTAAGCTGAGGTCAAGGGATCGACCCCTGGGATCTGCATCGGCTACTGCCAAAGGTGAAAACTGTTTCAAATACTACTATATAATAATAAAATCCTTTTTTTTAATTAAAAAAATAAAATCTTTTCATTCATAATATACTAAATTAGTATACACTTACTTATAGTCTTATACTATATAATGACATGAAAATATGATGACGAGTTCTGATGGAATGTATAAAAAGAAGAGTTGCACTGAGATGAGAAGGATCATTGAGTTTAGCTGCGATCTGATTGGTTAACAGGTTCCAATTGAGCGTACGTAAATGTTAAAAAAATAATTGGACAAATGATTTATGTAAGGACTGTGTCCTTAGGGGGCCCTAGGCAACATGCATATGTTCTGGAATGTGGCCCCCAGCAAGCCTCGTGCCCGCCCTAAGTGAAGGCGGGCCTGATTGTCCACGAGAGGCCCTTATCTCAGCATTTTCCAATGCGGGTCTCAGACAGTTGCTGCACGCCAGTTGGTTGAAGTACAACCTGGGCCTCACCCTGGGCTCTTCCAGAAGAAGCAGTTGCGCCAGGCGGTTGAGACCAGGACGCAGGTGGTTGCGCCCTGGGCACACGCAAAGTGAGGCCGGCACATTACGAGCCAACGAGAAAGTAGCATTGTCGTCGTATCTACCCCGTGGGCCAGTGCAAATGCAGCAAACATTAGGAGCCGGGAAAATTCTGTGTGTGCGCAAGTGAAAAGGGCCCAGGCCCTCAACTGTCGAGATGGGCTGGGGCGCAGACACTGAGGCCCGACCGGAAGCTACTGGAAACTTCCGCGGCCAGACCCAGACAGTCCAGCAGCAGCAACCTCTTCCATATGGGGAGGAGGCTGGCCAGTGCTGGCCAGTGCTGGCCATTCTGGCCTAGGCAGGCAATGCTGACACGCTGCTGCGCTCGCACGCAAGTGTCTGCATACGCATCTGCTGGCTGGGGCGAGCGTGGGCGCTGCAGGGCAGCGGGGCGCTAGCAGCCATAGCTGGGCTGCAGGGCGCGAAGGCAGAGGAGGGCGCTGGGGGTCTTCAGGAGGAGGCGGCGCAGATGTGGGTGGGCAGACGGTGATGAGGGAGTCGAGAGTACGTACCTGGTGTCTGTGGGAGGTCGGCATTGATGTTGACAACATGTACATTGGTCTTCAAAGTCGAAGTGAGCCTGTTGCATGAACGTAGGTAGGATAGGTAGGACGGGTAGTAGAGTAGGCCGGGCGCTGGGCGCCAGACAGAGAGGAGCCACATTGAATACTGTGTTGGTGTGGCCGGAGGGCTTGAACATTGTCTCATTACTTCATTGTATTGCTCTTATTTGGATGGAATCTTGTTGCATTTGAGCTCAGAGTCTCTGCTTGTGACATGACTATCTGGACTTCTGCGTGATTTTGCAACGTGGTTGGTTTTCTGTATATCGCTCTCGCTCATATTCCTTGCATTTAAAAATAAACGTAAGTAATTGATAAATAAATGATAAGTAAATGTGCTGTCAAAAAAACAAGAAAAGAAAGATAAATTGATAAGTAAATGATGAGTAAATGAGAAATGAACTCAAGAGTGGGGAAAAGGTTAACCCCCAAGAGTGGGGGAGGAGCGTTAATCACTGAGATCTCAGGTAAACTCTTCGGACCCAGAGTGGAATAATTTTTATTTTTTATGGAGATTAATTTTCTTCTTCTTCTTCCTTCTTTCTTCTCTTTTTTTTTTTTTTTTTTTTTGGAGATTAATTTATCAACCCCATGTTTTCCTGAAAAGAGCGCATGAACATTACATACGACTGCATGTGACCGGAGACCTACCTTCTATACATTCACGATGCCCACGCCTTTCATATCGGGAGACGGGAACAGCAGCACATGATGAAGGGCTGACATGTGATAGCGATGGGTTCAAAACAAGGGGAAGGAGAAGGAGGGAGAGCGGCAGAGGTAGGAGGGGCAGGGGGGGAAGGGGGAAGAGGGAAGGAGGGAGAGGGGCAGGGGGAAGAGCTGTCTCTTATACACATCTAGATGTGTATAAGAGACAGCTCCTCCCCCTCAACTGTTTATGCAGATACCCACTGCCGCGACCTGCTCCTCGCCCTTCTACAAGAACAGGAACGGGATCTCAATAAAGACGACGCTTGTTTCCTTCTCCTACTCTTCTCGTCTTCCTCTTCTTTTTTCTGCTACTCTTGTTCCTCCTGCTCTTTTTCGTCTTCCTCTTCTTTCTTCTACTTGTCTGGTTCTTCCTCCTGCTCCGCCTCTTCTTCCTGCTCCTTCGCCTCCACCTCCTCCTCCTCCTCCTCCTCCTCGTTCTCCTCGTTCTCCTCGTTCTCCTCGTTCTCCTTCTCTTCGTTGCTCTTCCTCCTCCTCTTCTTCCTCCTTCACCTCCTCGTCCTCCTCGTCGTTGTCATCCTCCCGTATGAGAAGACACGAAGGAGAAGAGGGCGGCTTGCGAACTACCCCCTACGTTCAGAACAACTTAAGAAAAAAACGATCTAGACACCCTCATCATGACTGTCTCGGCCGTAAAACATAACTCGTATGCATTCATGATTAGGGTGCGTTGTCTCCCGTGAAGAAGGTAGACCCCTTCCTTTCCTCCAAAACCTGCCTCTACTTCCTCATGAATTTAGAAGCCCAAATGTCAAGCACCACGGCAATCTCTGCTCTCTCTCTCTCTCTCTCTCACACACACACACACACACACACACACACACACACACACACACACACGCAACTTTCACACACACATACACGCACGCAACTTTCACACACACACACACACACACACACACACACACACACACACACACACACACACATACGAACAGGAACACCTGTTAAACAAAGGTCGGTTTGTAATGCAACTTCTATAAGAGGCTTCCAGCTAAGCATCGCAACGGCTGCAGCACTGGTTCTCTCGTCGAGGTACCACAACGGCGGCGAATCTTGTTGAGGAATGACTCTATGTGTGTTGTTAGCGAAGCAGATCTGAGAGGATAACACATTTGTAAGGCCGGGACAGGTGCAGGGTGATCGAGGCCAAGCAGCAGCAGCAGCAGCAGCAGCGGGAAGAGGATGAGGAGGATGAGCAGTGATTGAACAGGAGAGAGGAAGCGGAAGCATCGTTGTCTGTGTCTGCCCGCGCGTATCGTGGACCCAAGGCCCAATGAAAGGGCAGCGCCGCCTCTGTGGAAGGCGTAACGGTTCCATTCCGTCCTCCCCCACCCCCCCCACAACCTCCTCCCCCCCCCCCCCCACCCTCCTTCCCCCTCCCTTCCCCATTTCTTTTCCCCCCGTCTTAATTGAACTACAGGAGAAGCGGAATCATGCCCACAGTTACAGGCATCATCTGAGAGCATGCCAGTCTTCTGCAGATTGGTGCGTTTTATCACCATAGCCACAGTCTTCCGGTGCTTTTCCTTCTCTCGATAAGCCATTATATAGATCGTATGCTGCCAACTGCAGCCCCCGTCGACCAGGATGTGAGCATGGCCATCCCGATCTGTGAGCATGGACATCCCGATCTGTGAGCATGGACATCCCCATCGCTGCGGAGGCTCACGGTCACCGAGGCATCAGGAGGAGAGAGGAACGTGAATGACGCGATCTACCTTCTTCCGCCGAATACAACGTGCGGTCATTATATATGTATGTAGACTTAAAGGCGGCTCAAATACCGTTAGAATGACCGTACGTTGTATTCGGGGGAAGAAGGTTGCAGTCAAGGAGGCATCAAACGAGTTCGTAGGGCGAAATCTAACGGTCGAAAGCAATCCATAAAGGGTCTTGGGGCCATCCTTCTTTTCCTTTTCTTCTTTTTTCTCTCTCTCTTGGGCAATCAGATCAAGCGCTGAGCAAGCGATCACGAAGGTCTGGGACAACGGAACGCTGCGCACGTGACAGCCGTCTTCAGCCGTAGATTGCTGCCAAGCCATCGCCGAATGCGGCCATCATCATCCCCTTGAGTCAGAGATCGGCTGCGCGATTCTCTCTCTGGCAAGTCGCAGATTGCGACTTTGATCACTTGCCAGGCGGACACCTTTTCTCACTAATAAAACTTATACACGACGCGATGCGAGGGGGTGGGGAATCGAACTCGAGACCTCCGCTTGCCAGGATGAGATCACTTTGCTTGCAGCCCAGGATGGGATCACTTGGCTTGCAGCCCAGGAGGGGATCACTTGGCTTGCAGCCCAGGATGAGATCACTTGGCTTGCAGCCCATCGTTAGTTAAAAAGGCTGTCCCTCCTCCTGGCAAGCGGACAGTGTATGTGTGGGAGGGAGTTCGATTCCCTCCGGGAATTGGACAGTTCGGACAGTGCAGCTGCCCTACCTACTTCAGGGCGAGTTCCCACTAGCAAAAAGAGACTTTTAGATTGAAAACCTGAATCTGGACGTGTTTGTTGAGACATGCAGATCATTGCGATTGTTCTGCTGTTCTGCATCTCGACGTAAAACGCATCCACATTCATGCGCTTAGTCCGATCGTCGTCTTCGCTAGTGGGATCTCGCCCCTTAACATCATCATCATGAACACCGAGAGCGGCGGCCTCCTCGTTTCATCCCGCCCGCGGAGTAAATCTCTTTCTGCTGCTGCCGATTCGGTCAGCAGAACGGGCACTTCTCCGTCTAAGAAGAGAAGCACCTCCTTCTCTCATCCCTATAACAAGGATCTGCTCTCGGGAGGAGGAGGAGGAGGAGGAGGAGGAGGTAGGGAGAATAAGCTCAACGACGGCAAACGATCGATCGTGACATCGAATCCAGTCCGAAAGTTAGCATGGGCAGACGTATCTAACGCGAAACAGCAGCGCGATTCGTCCACTCCTCCCGAGCACTCAGTCTGGAGAACAGAAGGCGGGGCAACATCTACAGAGCTAAGGCAGCCACAGCAGGAACTCTCAACCACCTACCCTACTCCTTCACCCAGCTCTTCCTCCACCTCTCCTCGGGAAGCAGACAATGAATCTTCTCCTCCTCCTACTCCTCCTCATCCTCCTCCTCCTCCTCTTCCTCCTCCTCCTCGTCGTCCTCCAGTTCCCCCTCGCGTGCACAAAGGAAGAGGATCAAAAGCCAGCAAGAGGAGCGAGGTTCTGGGGGAGAGCCCCCCACCTCTCACAAGCTCCCGATCGACGACGATCCGCTCACAGCTGAGATCGGCTGGCGACTCTCACGGCTATGGCCGCAAGAAGCAGAGCGCTAAGGAGCTACAGCGAGCTGGGAGCAGTAGCAAGATCATCAGACAAGAAGATGGGAGGGAGGAGTGGGGTAGTAGTCGGATCCACCAGGACGACAGACAAGATAAGGTGCGGTCCCTGCAACACATGTGCGTGAGCCTGGCAGAGCGGCTGAGGAAGCTGGAGGACACGGTTCAAGCTGTCTGTTTGGAGTTCAGATCGAGGAGAAACGACCAAACGCGAGCTGCTGATGACCGTAGATTGCAGGAGAAGTCGACCGTTATCGGCGACGGAGGTGAAGGGAAAACGACACGTGGCTTGCGCAGATTTCCAACAGCTTGGCCATCATCACCAGCAAGTGCAGTAGCAGCAGAGGGAGGACAACTGGCAGAAGAAGAAGCGGCAGCAGCAGAAGAAGAAGAAGAAGGAGAAGGAGAACAAGAAGAAGAAGAGGGAGGAGCTGTGGGGACTGCAAGGGGAGGACGAGTCTTGTCACGCCCTCGAGGAGGAGGTGGTCACCATCAAACGGCGTCTAACGGAGAACTCTTCGCCAGATCTAACGGCGAGGAGGAAGAAGAAGACAGAGCTGCAGAGGAGGCTGCTCCTCGACCTGACGCTACCACTCTTTGGCCCCCGCCAGCGCACGCTTTGCGCCGCAAAGAGCGGGAGCCGACGGGAGTTTGAACCCTCGTCGATTGAAGTCAAAGCATGGGAAAGCTCGTTCTTAGTAGATGGCCCTTCTCCCCCTGTGCCATCCTCTCTACCTCCTTCTCTCTTCTCGTCTTTCTCTGGGCAACAGCGCACCACGGCGCACTACGTGTGGAGGACCGCGCCCGACGTGGCTGCAGCAGCTCACGACCTCCAGCACCAACGACCGTTCTTCTCTGGCAGCCTCCTCGTCCCGACATCCATCAGCAAGACGCCCCATCATAGCCTTGCTAACGATCGGCTCGACGACGTTTCGGCCCTGCTGTCCGGATCCGGATTGTCCCCAGAGGAGATCCATCGCAAAGCAACCACCATCTCCCGCCATGTCCGTGGGTTTCTGGCCAGGACGCGATACCTACGCGGCCGATGGGCTCTGGACACGTGGCAGTCTTCCCAGTACTCCAAGATCAAAGCGTTTCTCCGCTCGTGGTGCGATCGACGGCGGATGGTTAATTACCAAATGGAAAAGATGAAGATAGCTCGTGACAAGAAGCTGGTCAGACTTGTCTTCATCTTTTATCGCGCCATCACGAGCCACAACAAGAAGAAGAGAAATGAGAGAGAGGTGGAGGCCATCACGATGGGTAGGGAACGGATCCGACGAGAGACTCGAAAATGGTTAAGTTATTGGCATATCATAGCGACGGGTTCTTTGTCTAGGCGAAGTCGAAAGGCAGCTTACGTCGCAAGACGCCAGGCCGCCAGGGTGGCATTGGCAAAGAGAGCTGCAAGTCTCAATCCCAAGGCTTGGTGGAAGATCAAGGTCGTCGATGCCGAAGCCATCAAAGCCGAGGTCGATGCTATGGCGATCCGACGTGTCCACCTTCTGCGATGCTCCCAGATAAAGAGGAGAGCGTTCGGCGAATGGAGGGCGATCTATTTCGAGCGAGTAGGAGACAGCTTCCACTCCACGTGGCTGAAGAGGAGAGCCATTCGAGCTCTCCATGGCTACCTGGGGCGAAAGATGGACAAGTCACAACTCCCAAGACTGCAATGGATTGCCCGCCGAGGCCTGCTGAAGGAGGTGTCACGGCGATGGCGGACGACTAAGCTCCGCAGAGCTTGGCGGCTATGGTGGAAGTTGACCTCTCAGGGACGGTCGTTGAGGCGCGTGGGGGATTTCCAGGCCGCTCGAGAGCTTGCCAAGTCCTTGGCGCCCATGAAGAAGAAGGCAGTCGAAGCATGGTCGATGGCGGGCAAAGCCCTGCGTGCATGGAAGTCCAAAGTAGGTGCCATCTTCATCAACGCCCCCTCCGCACGAGCTCTGTACGCATTCAAGCTATGGCGGCTAAACACCTGCATGGTGAAGGTGATCAGGAGAGTGACGGAGGAGGAGGTCAACCTCATCCTCCGCCAAAGACGAGCAAGAATGCTGCAGTTGGCGTTCTTCGCCTGGACAGCGTTGCTATGGCCGCAACACGACAGATTGACCGCTATCGAAGAGCCGAATCACAAAGAAGAAATGGATAAGGTTGCCACGTGGCAAGAACTGCCTAAGGTTGACACGTGGCAAGAAATGGATAAGGGTAGTAGCACGTGGCAAGAAGTAGATCAGGTTGGTAGCACGTGGCAAGAGCACGACGCGGCCAAGGAAAGGTCGACTGGATTGCTGGGACCTGCAGGAGGCACGGGACCAGCGATGGGACCAGCGATGGGACCAGCAATGGGACCAACGACGGGACCAGCGATGGGAAAAGGATTAGGGATGGGAAAAAAGGGAACAGGGATGGGAAAGGAATGGCAGTCTTGGGTGAAGAAGAAGAAGGTGGGATGGACGGTGGAGTGGTCAGGGGAAGTAGCACCCTCCGACAGCCATCGCCATGCCTCCGCGGTAGTCGGCAGTAAAGGTACACAGGACAGCAAGCAGTCCTCCGATAAAAATAGCACGAGGCAAAAGGATGTGGATAACGATATTATTGTGGATAAGATTCGGATACGGGAGAAGGGGAATGAGAGTGGAGGATCTCCTCCTCCGGGAGACTACGGAACCTCTGGTTCGGTACCCGTGGCTGTAGTAGCTGACCTGGTGACGGAGGGCAAGCTGGAAACAGCTGTGCAGAGAGCCAAAGGTGTGGTGGACTTCGAGTCCCAGGTTCGAGACCTCGCGAGCAAATGCCTTCAAGGTATCACCACCAGCTCGAGGCCATTTGCCGACCCTTCGCTGGACCTTGACCAGTCTTCTCTCGATCTCGATCTCGATCTCGATCTCGATCTTGACGTTGAATGAAGACCACGAGAGAGTGCTGGTGACACTGAAGTAGGATATCGTAGAGATAGGGGGTGGCCTAGGAGTGGGGATGGGATGGGAGGTAGCCTCTTTCCCTCAGGACAACCATGGCTGACAGCTCCGGGCTATCAATGTGTGCCTACAGTAGTAACTGGCCTCTACAACACCCTGGGGCCTGGGCTTTTCATAAAAAAGACCCTCATCGTGACTGAAGATACCTTGTATACGTCCATGATCATGGAACGTTGTGTTGGGGGGAAAACAGCTTATGTAAACAATAACCTGCAGCGCAAGAAAATAAAAGCCAGTAACTTCTGGTCGGACGACTATGTGTGCAAATGCTTGTTCGCAGCCGTCAGGGGTGCGCTCCCCCCCCTGCGACATTTCCCCCCCGAGACATTTTCGTCGGCCTTCGTTATAGAGGCCGTTGATTCGGGCTCGTTTAGTCGTTGGAAGGTTCAAAAAATGCAGGCAGGTTCAGGCACGACACTTTCGGGGGGCGGTTGGCAGTTTCTTTGAAAAATGCAGGACCGGTAGCTGCCCGTGGGACCGCGCGCTGGGTTTTGGTCGAAACGGTGGCAAAGTAGCGGCAGGGTGGATCTTTGGGGGGGGGTGGCAGTTTCTTTGAAAAATGCGGGACCGGTAGCTGCCCGTGGGACCACACGCTCGGTTTTGGTCGAAACGGTGGCAAAGCAGCGGCAGGGTGGAAAAGTGGAAAAGTTTGCAGCCCGTCAGGGGTGCGTTTCCCCCCCCTAAGACATTTCCCCCCCGAGACATTTCCGTCGTCCTTCGTTATACGGGCCGTTGATTCGGGCTCGTTTTGTCGTTGGAAGGTTCGAAAAATGCAGGCAGGTGCAGGCACGACACTTTTGGGGGGTGGTGGCAGTTTCTTTGAAAAATGCGGGACCCGTAGCTGGCCATGGGACAGCACGCTGGGTTTTGGTCGAAACGGTGGCGAAGTAGTGGTAGGGTGGATCTTTGGGGGGGGTGGCAGTTTCTTTGAAAAATGTGGGACCGGTAGCTGCCCGTGGGACCGCGCACTGGGTTTTGGTCGAAACGGTGGCAAAGCAGCGGCAGGGTGGAAAAGTGGAAGAGTCTGAATCGGAAAGGGTGTGGCCTTGGCCGCAGGTTGAAACAACACACCTGCATTGCATTTGCAAGTGCAAACAGATGTGTCTGAACGTGGATGTATTCAACGCCCCACACGTTCAGCGCTCGATTGAGTGAGTCACATGTGACAAAACAACTTTTATTTAATAAAAAAATAACTTACAACAACAAACACTCAAGCACACACATATACGACATATGGACACCAACTATGAATCAAGGTATGTTAAATATCTGATACATTAATACCATACAAATTACCTAAATCCCACACACATGCATTGCATTTGCAAGTGCATACTTCTAAACCTCACCAATAACGCCTCCTTTATCAATAAAGCATATACAAACTACGGGCTGCGCATCCGTGCCCTCACGGTAAGTCAATGCAGAATTGTGCGGAAAAGGGTCCTGAGTCTAGACAGATGGGATGCCCAACAGTGCCATACCCTGTGAGTACACCCCGAACCAGATGAAGGGAACACCTAGAAAATGAATGACCTGGAACATTATACTGCAGAAACCCTGCCTGGCAGCAATGTGTAAGAACGGCGGACCTGGACTTGCGCTCCATCAACATAAATGGCTTGGCATTCAGTGAGCCTGAAAAATGCCAAGCCATTTGGGATCAACTCACAGAGGTAGGAGGTAGGATGTGATATGCGTGCAGGAGACTCACCCGTAGGACAACCCAGAGCATAACAGGGCAATGGTCTGGCCTCACATGGCCGTGAGGGCTCATGCCCCTAGGTCCGGTTCACTGAGGGTAGCGATTTGGATCCCCCCCGACTCTAGATTCCACTGGCAGTTGGTCCACTGGGTGGCAGATGAAGAAGAGGGGTGGTGGGTCTCAGTGTTGGGGATGCTGAAATAGGAATTACTTTGCATACTTTGAATCTATTCCCCCAGTACGGTCGGAGAAAGAAGAGCCTTTTTGGGGAATCTAGGAACGAAAGTCCTCGAAGGCATCCCATTAGCTATAGCAGGGGATTTTAACCCCACCCCCGATAGGAGACTGAATTGTCTACCGCGTGGGCGAGGGGAACGCAGCCCGAAGGTAGCCGAAGCAATGACACTAAGTGCGCACAAAAAAAATAAAAATAAA